TATACGTGAATTACTTTGATTATCCCACCTCATTTCTCAAGTTTGTCACAATGTATTCTGGGATTGCTTTATCCACAAAGACTAGAGGCAAAACGAGGTCTTTTATAAGGCATGCTCGTGGTTTGGAACAGCCTTTGCGTTGGCAAATGTAGCTCACTGGGTTTTGGAACAGATCATTTGTTCTGTGATTTGAAATGCAGATTTCGTGAAATCTTATAAAATGGATAGTTCCGGTCCTTGATTCTGATTGGTTGAGCCAAGTTCGAAGCTGTTGTAAATTACTCTACAAACATACACCTTTGTTTACGTCTGTGTATTTGCTCTTTTTTATTTTGTGAAACTGTACTACGTACTTGGAATAACTGTTTTATAAAAGCAATAAGCCCCGTGAAGCCGTGGTTTACAGTGAATTTATAACAGCTAAGGGGGTTTTAGGCTCTCCGCGTCGTACCTAACGCCCCTTAGCTGTTATAAATTCACTGTAAACCACGGCTTCACGGGGCTTATTGCTTTATTTGAACTGCACTGTGACAAAAGAGTTTGTCTGGATTTTCTTCAGATGCAAACCAAAGTCAGGGGGAAGACACGAAGAGGAAGTCCCACTGACGGTCACAACCAGAATGTACAAGTGGACACCGCTGGTGACAGATGTTTTCGGGTTCTCGTGGATGGACACCAATTGCGCTTTCATTCAGACAGAACTTCATTAACGACCCTTCTTCAGTTAACATCATTCTGCTTTTAATCGATCAGTGTTCTGGATGATTGGAGTGAGCTTGGTGCATTTTAAATTTTTTTTTGTTTGTCAACATGTTTACACAAGACCTTCATCACTGTGGACATAGAGCTAGAGGAAGTGAGAGGAGTACGAAACAAAGCAACATCATTTCTATTTAAGTTCATGTCGGCTGGAAACGTGCATTCCTGTGGTTATTTTCTTAGTAGATTTTTGTTGAACTCCTAAAGGGATGGGATAGTCCAACCGTTTCCTTCTACAGACTGTTAGAATAGTAGCTGTTAATAATACATATGGGTAAATTATTTATAATTTTTTGACAGGGACATATGATGTTTAAGTTTATTTGTAGAATAAAATGGGTATGTATATAAAATACACATTAATATTAAGTGATATATTTTCTTTGGAGGTCAGGACGTGTGATGTTCCTCTCATCTGTGCGTGCAGATGTCTTGCTGTCTTTGGTGCTGCGTATCTCACTGGACCTTGTGAAAGAAAATAAAACATTCTTTTACGGATGAATGAATCATGTGTGAAAGCTTTTCATAGAGGAAAATTATGAGATTATGGCCTACTTGAACTTTCAGTTTAGTTTTGCTTAATATCAGTACAAGAACTCCCAACACTTTCAATAAAACGCCTTAGTTTGTAAGTTTGAATAACTGCAGGACTGTAAATGCTTCAATGCAAAGTAAGCTATTGCTTAGAGCTCCACTTTTGACATTAGTTGTGTTTGTGTGTGTTTTCTGAGTGTGTTTGATGGGTCTGCCCTGTTACCTCACTGGACCTCATGTCTGTGTTCATTTCATCCTGTGTCACCACCTGCATCTTATGACTGTGTTCAAATGAGAAATGGCACCAAAGATGACAGCGTTCGCTCAGAGTTGACAAGCAACAGGTCAGGTGTCTGTGTGCTCAGTGTAACATCCTAAATGTGTGGTCTCTGTGGATATTGTGATGGACTGACTTTTAAAATGGAATTTTATAGATTGCTTTATTTTATTTTCTAAAAATGCTGAAGTGGGTGGGCGTAATTTTAACTGATGCTCACCTTGAAAATTCTTATTTGGGTAGATTATTTTTGTCTTGATTCTGGAGTTAAATGCTGTCATTTTGTTTCAAGTACAAGCTCTAAAAATGAATTCAATAAAAAACATTGGCGGATATGGTTGTAGTAACATTACTGGCATAACTGAGGGACTGTATTTGTGTACAAGGCTTTAATATATCAGAGATTATTTATTTGTCACGTCATAAGGTCAATATATCCATTTCGACCCTATGCATGAGTAGCACAAATTAATTTGGTGTAATTTTGAGTATAGGTTACACTTAAATTTAATAAATAAACCCATGAAATTGTGTGTATATATATATCTATGTGTGTGTGTGTGTGTGTATAGTGCATATAAATATATATGCACAATATAAGTCGTGCATATATAACTATATACAGTTTTATGCAAACGTTTGGGCAACACTCTTTATAAGAAACGATCGTAGTGATATGCCATTCGGTTTATAGAGAAAGCTGAATAATGTGATGTTTTCCAGACATAAATTCTTAGTGTAGCAGTATTGAGTTGTATGAAATAAATCTGAGTGTGAAAAATAGGCTGTGCAAAAGTTTGGGCACCCTTTCAGTTGTGTTGATTTGAATGCTTGTAGTCACTTAATGCTTATGCTTAATGATTGGTTGCAACACAAAATTAATTTGACTGGCTCAATGAACCTTAACATTGCAAACTCGCATGCAAACAGTCATGAAAAAGGATGTTTAAGGTAGCTAATTGCTAGCTTTGCTTCTCTACTTGAAAGTAACAACATGGAAACCTCAAAAGAACTCTTAACAACCTAAAAACTATGAATTAATATGAATGAGGATACAAAAAATGATCACAAATGTTTAAGGTGTCTGCCTCCACAGTCAGAAATATAGAAAATAAAAGGCCACAGGAACCGTCCTTTATCAAAATATACATTTAATGCAGGATCTAGAAAAAATCTGATCGTGATTAAACCAGAAAAATGTAAAATAAATGAACAAAAACAATTTTTAAAGTTTGGGCTCCTAAACATTAGATCACTCTCACCCAAAGCAGTTATTGTAAATGAAATGATCACAGATAATCGTTTTGATGTACTCTGCTTGACTGAAACCTGGCTAAAACCTAATGATTATATTGGTCTAAATGAGTCTACTCCACCAAGCTACTGTTATAAGCATGAGCCCCGTCAGACTGGTCGTGGCGGCGGTGTTGCAACAATATATAGTGATATTCTCAATGTTACTCAGAAGACAGGATACAGGTTTACCTCATTCGAAATACTAATGCTTAATGTTACACTGTCAGATATGCAAAAGAAATCTATCGTATCTCTTGCTCTGGCTACTGTGTATAGACCACCAG